GTCATAAATCAATTGGCCGGGAAAAAAGCACACTCACATTGGAACCACCGAGGTTCTCATAAGTTATATAGGAATTTGGCAAGCAGAGCGGCTTCAATAAATAAACAAAAGGAGGCGTATAAGGTATGGCCCCAACGGTCTCCAAGGACAAAACTATCCGCTAGAAATCCAACCAATCCACTTGCCTCAAACATTTATTTATGGGCTAGCAGCTAGCTAGCCGAGGGAAATTTACATTTTCCAAGCCACCGGGCCGCATTCTGGGCAAATGACCCTCGATGGTTACCTCTCTGGTTCCGGGAAATGGAAATGGCCAAATGGGTGGTGCCGAGTTGAGTGGTTCAGGGAACGCAATCAAACGCCGTCTATCGGGATTCCTTTTTTGTGGCTCGGCTTTTGGCAATTTTCATACACATGCGAGTGGGGCGCTATAGCGCGCGTTTCGCCATTTCGGGCCAACATATATCATTGTCTGGCCAGCCAGAAGGAAAACCCCCTCCCTAAAAAAATAACAAAAAGAAAACCAAAATTCGGGAATACCAAAAACTGACTCGAGGCGAGTCGAATTCAACCTGCCGCCATTTTCTGATTTATGATGCTATTTAGATTTCACGTGATTCGTTTTCAATGCGCGCTCTCGTCCACTGGCAAAGATAGAAAAAAATCGCGACCAATAAATCGCGAGTGGGGGTAGCAGAAAAAATGAAACTAGAAATGAATCTGAATGCTAAAAATTACAACACACAGCTGCGTGTGCATAAATCTCCCACCCAACGGTTTACAAAAGTAACAAAAAAAATTGAGGGGTGAGGAAATATCTTTGAACCCATTCCAAATTCAATTCGTTGGGAATTCAATTTCTTTGCTGGGGATTATCAACTATTTAAAGAAAATAAAAATTTAGATGATGAAACAAATAAGAAGGCTTCTTAGATCCCAAAATATATAACCCAACTGGGAAACCATGAGTTTTTAAACTTATTCCTAAAAACAAAATTATTTTTTTTAATTACTTTGTAAAACAACTCTATCATAGTTTTTCAATGGTTGTTAAAGGATTCTATTAATGTCGTAATATCAATGTTATTCACTAATCTTAAGGAGTAACTAAAGCCATTCCACCTCATAAAACATAAAAAATGACTTAATACAAGAATTAGATATCATTGAACCCATTGAAAATTCAATTCGTTTCAAAATCAATTCCTTGTTGTAGGCTTATCAACTATTAAAAGCAAATGGCAACATGTTTAGCATGAAATTGGCAGAATCCAGGCCGCCAATTCCCTTTGCCACCCCCTCCAATTATGAGTTTGGCAATTCGATTTGCATACAATCGTCGGGCATGAATAATTGGGGAAATCCCCTCCCGATTCGCTCGTTTACTCATCAAGTTCATGAGCCTGCCCGATTGACTTTGAATATTAGCTGAATGTTACTGGATGGCCGGGGCACTACGGGGAGATATAGGGGCAGGGGAAGGCAGTACGGTGCCAGCTGTAATTGACATGCAAACGCATTTCCTGGCCTGTGATTTGATTTCCATGTTGTTGCTACGCATATGATTATTGCTCCGTGAGGGGCTGCCTCATGTAATTCATTTGATTAATTATAGTCCGACATCAGTTATTGCTCCCTATACTCTCGTGGGTGGGTGGCTGCGTATATGTTAATACAAATTAATTAATCTTCGCAATGCTGCAGCGAGACTGAGATTGATTGCAGTCGCGAGATGGCAACATTTCGGCTAAGTTCCTTCTATAAGGGGGGATACCTTATGAAATATCAGGATGAAATATGAACATTTAATATTTAGATGAGAGTTTAAAAAAAAACAAGGAAATCATTTGGTTAAATAAATAAAAATAAGGTTCTAAATAATATTTTCTTTTCAACAAATGCCTTCAATACATAAATAAATTTCCCGTTTCCATCCAGTAATCCCAAACTCTGATGACTTTAAAATAAAGCCCAAAAAACCTATGACACAAGCGAATCATAAAAAAAATCTCAACACGTGTAAAGTTAATACCTTTCGAAGAAAAACATATACCATCCACCAAAGCCTTGTCAACCCTCTTTCCCTAAAAAGTTTCCCTAATGGCCTTCACCCGCTGGCAGTCACAACAAAATCCCACGCGATTGTAAATTCTTTAAAATCGTTATCTCTTCGCTTAGATTTTGTAATTTTTTGGCGCATAATTTACATGAGCATTAAAAAGGACCGAGCCTTATCCACCATTATACCAATGAATGATGAGGCGACGGCACGCGGCCGACCGCAAAAACAACGCCCATCGGTACCGCCCATCGCCCATTCCATCCCACCCCCAACTTGCCAACAGACCAACTATTAAACGCTTAATGGCAATTTCATTGGGCATCATATCAGATATCGGTCGGATGTCCGATGTCGGCGGACAGTCCCAAGGCCACATGTTTGCCGTGATTACATGAGAGTTGACACGCCGCCTGGGTGGTGTGGACACGTGATCCGGTCACGTGTCGCCAATTCGCCCACAGGCCCCGGCCAAAAAATTCTGGGCCAAGTATAGCTAGCTAGATATACCCTTTTTAAAAGTGTATAACTATTCATACAAGGACCTTCGTTTTTAACGTTTTTAAAAAATTTATTCTTACTTTATGAAGCCTAGAATAGGTAGCGTATGTTTAAAAAAGTGCAAAAGCGAATAAAATGAGCCATATTATCAGAATTATTATTTAAAACTTATGGAAAATATGCTTTATTGTAAATATTATAATTACAAATACATTTAAGGAGATTCCATACTTTAATTTTCGCTTGCTTTATAGGAAAACTGTGATATAATCTGGTCACACTTTTAATAGCACATTTAATTTGAGCTATTGAATAAAATTACATTTTGTAAGTCCATATAAGTGTCCACTAAAATTCTTAATTTCCTAAACTAATATTTTAATTGGTCTTAATCCTAATCTATCTATCTAAGCAATTTAACTATATAAATGCAACGACTCCTTGGTATTTTTAAATCTAGGTTAGAGTATTCCAACTTCGATGAGCAAAACTTTTCGTATTCACTTTGTTTTCATTTCGTAATGTAATCAAATTATGAAAATTATACGAGACCTTCAGTAAGTCAAGTTGGCAACAATTTTGACTGATTGTTTTTGCACGACCCCTCCTGAGGACGCCCAGTACGGCGGATAGCATCCCCTGGGTGCCCCCGCCGAGATTCACTTGAGGCAGCAACCCCTTTTGGTGGGCGAGAGGTGTTCTCCGGATATGGTGGGCAAACAAATTATATTTAAAATCCCTGTCCCAGTGGGTCGCTTTCAGCCCAGTGGGTGTTGCCGCTTCCGTTTCAACGCTCAACCACTCAACCTGCCACGGATCCGGTTCCAATTGGATATCCGTTTAGTGCTCGGCCGGGCCCTTGAGTCATCATCATCATCTCCAATGGGTTGGGATTCTGAGTTCTGGGGTCTGGATTCTGGGCTCTGGGTTCTGCGTTCTGGTTCCTAGACCACCCACGGGGCCTTACTTATTACTTTCGAGAGGGCCTTAAACTCCGGCCTGTTCTGTTGGGGTTAAGCTTGTCTTTTCCCCCTCTTCAAATGACACATCACGAACTTTTTTAATTTGTTTATGATAATTTACGTTCCATATAATAGGCAAGGACATGACAGCCAGTCATTTGTTATATAATGTTTCTAAAAAGGATAACAAATGGCTAAAATTGATAATGATAATGGCGACTCTTTGAGAGGGAATTTTAATGGATTAATGTCTGTAGAATTCATTTTGTAGAGTACTTGTTCAAGAATTTTTTAACAAAAATACTAAAAAAAAAATGATTTGGAAATTACGATTTATAATCCCAGCACATCAACTTACAATTTAGACGTTACCATTTCCCAACTCAAGACCTTTCAAATTGAATCAACCTTTAGGGAGTCTTTCAATGACATTATTTGCCAATCAGCTGGAAGCAACCATTCTGAAAAGGTAAGAAAAATCCAAACTTAAATCAATCGTAAAATAGTAATAAATATTTATACCTAGGCCATTGATGGCGTAACACATGTAAAGATTATAAAAATGAATTTTTATTGTTGACCGAAGAACATCGGCAGGGCAACGGCTTGCCCTCTACCCTCTAGACTTCCCTGCTGGCGAATTTTTAAAATCAAAAATTGGCGATTATGCAAAAATACGAAACATCTTTATAGCCGGGGAAGAAAGAGGCTGAGGTAGCACACATGATTCGGATTCTGTCCTGAGTATGACATTTGTTTTATGCCCCGCTCAGGTTGCGGCAGCATAAAAACCGCAAAAGAAATCCGCAACAGAAGGCAACCGGAATTGGGCCTAAAACACACGAGCCCAATGAAACTGCCACGCGATAAAAGTTAAATATGCAAAGATGAAAATCTATAATTTTTTATTAGCCCTGATCCCCGTGCAAGTGCGTCTTTATGCGGCTTTTTTATGCCGCACTGGCTAATTCTCCCTTTTGGCCCAATTTGTTGCGGTTCTTTCCGCGACGCCTGGAAATTTTTGCAAAATGTTTACGATTTGCGATTTGCACGAATCATACCAATGTACTTAGGTATTTTTTTATAGTTTTACAATATGGCACCCAGTGGCGGCATCAAAATTGTATTTTCTCGTATTTCGTATTCCATTAAGGGTATATTTGCGAGGCTAAGGTGAGCTGCTTGTGGGGTTTATTAGGTTGGTACGGAAAAACGTTCTTTAATTTCATTTTGAAATTGAAAGGTGAACAGAATTTTAGGGTCTGAAATAATAATTAATGTGGTTTTTATAATCAGCGTAAAGTGTTCTTTAAATTCTATAATGTTTACAATAGAAAAAATATATAAATCTTAAGCGAATATGCACTCTTTATATATTTCTGCAGTAAAATAATAGAACAATATGTTACCCTATATTTTTTAAGATCATTTATTAAAAATAATAATTTATTTTAAATTGAAATTGTTAAAGTTTGACTTTATTTCTTTGCATACTCCACCAATTCTTCAGTGCCACAAAAATGTCCCAGTATTACGATCTCAACAGCGCCTAGGTCGACAGCAGGGCATGCAAGCACAGCAGCAGGCTCGGTGGATATTGGGGGCCAGCCAGGAGAACCAGGCAGGATCCAGACAGGACTCACACCACGGACCGCAGCATGTTTCGGGGAATATCCCACAGCAGGAGGTACAGCAAGTAGCACAGCCACTCGAGCGCGGCCCACAGGGGCCACATGATCCGCAGCAGGATCCAGAATTGCAACAGGATCCTGGTCTACGACACGATCCACCCTTGCAGCGAGAATCTTTTTTACTACAGGAACTGGGAACTGGAACTCCGCATCCAAACCGTTGAACTTGCATGCACATGGTCCACAGGAATTTCGACGAGTCGTATATAGGATCGTTGCAATAGTGGAGCATTTACAAAGAATCGTATACAAAGAGATGTGGTAACGCCCCGAGGAAGCTCTTTATTTTCCTTTTATAGAACCAGCGCTGATTGTTCAGGCCTAAATGGATTTGGAAGTGTCTAATCGGGACATTTTGGGCAGAACGTTGAGTTTATGACTTACATCAGACGTACAAACGAAAATAGATAACTTCGTCGGGTTGTTTGATTCCTGGACAATTTTGACAATGAAAAGTTGATGGTTTCTATTATTCTATTGCGAATAAAATTTCCCTTTACTAACAAAAATAGTAACTCTACTATAAAATAATAACGAGCTTGTTCTTTATTAGAGTATTACCCAAAATCGTTATGCTTGCGATCATTGCAAAAAATGGTTTTCAATATTTTAAAATGATGTCATACTGCTCAAATTTTTAAGACAACTTCTTAACGCGATATTTCTAAAATCCCCAACAACCCTCTCCTTTGGAAGACCACTTTAGTTAATGGCAAAGCGCATGAATGAAATCATAAATAAAAGTCGCAACTTTGATTTACTTGCGTTGACAATAGAACAACATTAAATTAAGTGCAGTAAACCGACCAAAAAAGTACGCAGGATGAGGTCGAAGCTGGGAAGGGGAAGTGGAAGTGGATAACCCTATAGTATCCCCTGGGTCTAACGAAGCGTGAACTAATTGGGGATGGGTAAGTGGAAACTGCGCATTAGCCTCGCCTGCCAGTGGATGCAACCAAAGCGAAAGCACACAGATACTCAGCATACGCACCATTCCAAAGACGACAGGGAACAGGACAAACAAGGATTCGAATCTGGCAATTGTAGCTAGAAATCGAAGCTCTTACTGAAACTAGGTGGAAGTCAAACAGAACCAACTAATGAATCCACATGGCAATTAGAACATCAGTTTGCAATATTTCAGGAACTAAGCAGGTCAATAGAAACCAATGTTTGTAGGTCTTGAAGAGGTGAGCAGTTCCATTTCTTAACAAAATTTATTGTAGTAAATATAAAGAAGTTAATATAGAAGTACTTTAAAGATAACTTTTTAATAAATACATTTAGTTCCTTAAATTTAAGAAAGAACATGCCAGAGTTGGGGCATTAAAATGGCATTCGGCGCGACCCATAAACGCCGGCAATTAAAATCTTATTTTCGCTTATTACATTTTCACAGGTGTGTGCCACGCCCCCTTCCCTCGCTGCATCCGGCCAATAAACACGTCTAAAAATTTTAGCCAAGAATTTGTCGCCTGCCTGGCCACCTGTTCCCATGAAAAAATTCGTTTTCTTTGCTCTTTTTCCGTTTTGGGTAATTGAATCATTTTAGCGCCATTTATTTTGTTCAACATTGCAGAGGTTTTTGGGAATGGAATGGGCTGGGGTTGGTCTCAGTACGCGTGACATTTGTAAAACAATTTCTATTTCGAAAATGAAACAAGCGCGGCCTGCTCGCGAGTGGGAGGAACATAAATAATAATGCGTTAAATTTATGCGTTGATTAATGTGGAGCAGTCAATCTCCACCAGCTTTTTGGCAAAGGAGATGAGGATTTTTGCACCCACTTTTCGATGTTCTCAGGTGTGACCAGTTGGGAGGTGTGGAAAAGAAAGTCTTCAGTTCATATGAATACTTTATTGGGTGCGCAAAAGAATATTTTACATTTTCAATAAAAAATTTATTGAAATATTTCTTCATTTAAACACAATACATTGCATAGAGTCACTATTATAGAAAGATATTTATTTCACAATTTAAAAACATGGTTTATATAATTAATAAATATAATTTCAAAATGTGTCCATATAATAAATGGTATTAAATTTAAGTACATTTATCTCTAAAATCCATTGTGGTCACGCCGCCAAAGACTCTACTTGATTCATTTTTCCGCACAATGAGCTCTTAAACCAAAATCCCATCGAATTAATTGAATGAGATCTACTCCCACTACCCAACGAGCAATCGGCTTTCCCTCAGTGCAAAATACGTAGGCATTTAGCGAAACGTTTATTTCATTATTACGCCTAGGGTAACCCGTCGAGGAAGACCCAAAAACACAGAGAGTCAAATTGAAAAAGTCAAAAAGTTATATTCCCCCTTCTGAAGGACATTCAGGGGGTGGCGAACCACCCCAAAAATCATCGCAGGGGTGCTACTTCGCATCATCGTCGAACTAAAAACCGGAACGGAAGCAGCAACCGAGCAACAAGAAGGATTTCCGGCCTCCACCACCAACAAAACCGTAGACAAAAGGCTAACACTTGTGTCCTCCGCCCAAACAAAATCACCCCTCAAATCACATGCATAAGGTTTTTAAGTTTTGTGCTTTGTCATACAAGTGCGTGGAGGACGATCTGCAGATACAGTTGTAAAGATATGGTAACAGGCGCGTAATGCGACAGCCTTTTGCAGGATGGCTGGGATGTTTGGGTTGTGAGGATGGTTGGGGAGCTGGGTTCCGTTCCGGATCGGTGGGTGGGCTATGCTGACATAACGCTACACATGTTTGGGCGTTGCCAGACGGAATCGGTTGCGGGTTGCGGTATCCCAGGTTGGCAGGGTGTACCAACGAGGGTCGGTCTTAAGTTACTATAATATGGATTATGTTTAAGTTCATGTTTGTAGCTTTCATTGTTAATGTAACACTTTTTTAGATGTTTTAACAAGTTATTAAAAATTTAATTCTATTTTTTAATATCTGTTCCGAATTCTTGTCGATCTGATGCGTCTCAACGTGAAACTTTCAAAATTATACAGCATTTTCTATATTAGTTATATCTCCTTACATGTATAAATCCCTTGGAACCATTTAAGCAATCAATACAGAGTTTAAAATAGTGAAACTGCAGTTTTCCCATTTTTACCAAATATTCCTACTCTAGTGTTGATTAGTGATATGAATAAATTTTTGGCTCAAGTAACCATAAAAAGCTTACATAAAGTACATTCTTCTTTATATTTTGTAAGGCCTTCATTTTAGCCCACAAAATTCCAATCCATCTGAAAATTAATATTTGGTAAATTGTAATTTTTTACTGCAAGAACTTCTGTTCCCACCCTATTTAGGCATCTCCCCACTCTCTTTGACAGACAAGTTTCTGCCAACCGGTCCTCCCCCAATTACCTCACCTCCTTACCATATTATGTGAACCATTTCTGTTGACATTGCCGCCTTGTTTACACGAATTCTGCGCCCAACACCCATGCCGGCGAGTGTTTAGATATCATTTTGCGCGAACAAAGGTCGGAAACGAGAACGGGGCACCGCCAACTAAATGCTGGGTAAATAGTTGCCGGGATAATTGGAACAGAGCAACGTGGAACATTTATTTACCTTCGTATATGATATTGGCACCGTGCTGGAAAGGGGCCAGAAATCAATGCAGCAGTTCATCGAGACCTTGAGGAGAAATTTAATTAAAGAACAGGTGACAATGCCAATGGGGGACATGGCTGAGTTTCTTTCATTGGGCATCATAAATCAAAGTTCCAAGGGGAATAAAAATTCGAGAAGCAAGAGAAGTAGGTTCCATCCCAGCAACTGCTGCAAATGTCAGCAACATGTGGCCAAAGGCAGAAAAAATTCAGAAAATATAAAATGAAAAAATAAGGAAAAAACAAAAAAAAAAGAAAACGCAGCAATCAAAAAATGTCGCCGACTTCTCTTCGTCTTTTTTCACTTTTGACATGGTCAAGTTTAATTGAAAAAATAATACAACAAAATTTGCTATAAAAAAAGCAAAAGGCAACTTTTAACCTCCGCAGCTGCTGCAGCCAAAGCTCATAATTAGAAAATCCACCAAAGAAAGAAAGAGCCAGCTAGCGAAATTAATTTATTCCTGTTTTTTGTATACTTTTAATTGAAATTTTCTTTATTTTTTCCACCTCCCTTCGGCCGCTGCAGATAATTTTAATAACCGGAAGCGGAAAGATGGCCAAAGGATGCGAACGGTAATTGCCGTGGCCAAAGCGGATGATAAGCAAATGTGGAAAGCAGGAGCAAGGTGAAGCACGAGTCCACGAAAAGGGTTCTTTTTCCGGGGCTTTTATTAACAAATTTCACTTTATTTACGCCGCACGTTATGCCGTAATTAATAATCGGGCTGCACGGGCACTAAAATGCTGCAGTCCAGTTAATTAAATTTGACACAGTTCACGGTGCTTTTGCAACGATATGAGTGTGGCTCCTTTGGGTTAAATATTGGCTGAAAAGGGTTAAATCTGCGGTTGGCTATTCATGACATTTATGGGTGGGACTTCCTTGATAATTGAGTAACGTTGTTAAAATCCAAAAAAACTAGGTATTTTAATTTAGGAATCATACATATATAAATATATATATAAGAGCGATAGAGTATTGTAAATTATAGAATTTTATTTGACAACAAGGTTTTTCTCGATCCTGGCTTTTGAAAAGCTTTTTATTTTAGATCACAAAATATATTTAACATTATTTCTCCCTGGAAATCCAAATTGCATTGGCAATGGACAAGGTGAAAAGAACTTAATATCGTTAGAAAGCATCGGACCTAACTTCAAAAAAAAAATATATATATATAACTAAATAAAATTCACTAATTTTCAAAATTTTTGAATAAAGGCGCCATCTATTTCAGATTTTAATTTGCTCCCTTTAAATTCGCCTCGCAGCGAATAACGTATTTCTTCGAATTCGCTCCGCTATAAATTTCAACAATTATGGGAAGCGACACCTAGTGCTGGCTTACGGAACATCTAACATTTTTGTTTACATGAGTTCTAAGCTGCAAGACCCATCAAATTGTTTGGTTGAAGGCGCCTTTATTCAAATATGCCTGATCGATTTATCCGTACTTCCAATCGGTTTCAGAACGGGACCCCAAAACTGCACTTCTAGAATAAATAACTTGAGTTATTTAAGTCCGTTTTTGGCGTGGTATACTTCTATGAGTTTGTGGCTAAATTCTGTAATATTCTACATTAAAATATTACTTCTAATCGAGGGTCTAAATTTTAACCCATTTTCATGTTCGATTTTTCCGTATTTCCAATGGGTTTCAGAATGGGACCCCAAAACTGGACTTCCAGATTCCATAAATTAAGTTACCTTAGTCCGATTTTGAAAAGGAATACCTCAATGAGTTTGTGGAGGAATTCTCTAATGTTCAACATTAAAATATTACTTCTAAGCAAGGGTCCAAATTTTAACCCATTTTCATGTTCGATTTTTCCGTATTTCCAATGGGTTTCAGAATGGGACCCAAAAACTGCATTTCTAGATTTCATATCTTTAGTTATTGTAGTCCGATTTTGAGGTGACATACCTCTATGAGTTTGTGGAGGAATTCTCTAATGGTCTACATTAAAATATTACTTCTCAAGGAGGGTCCAAATTTTAACCCATTTTCATGTTCGATTTTTTCGTATTTCCAATGGGTTTTAGAATGGGACCCCAAAACTGCATTTCTAGATTCCATAACTTAAGTTACTTTTGTCCGATTTTGAAGTGGGATGCCTCTATGAGTTTGTGGAGGAATTCTCTAATAGTCTGCATTAAAATATTACTTCTAAACGAGGGTCCAAATTTTAGTCCATTTTCATGTTCGATTTTTCCGTATTTCCAATAAGTTTCAGAATGGGACCCCAAAACTACACTTCAAGATTCTATAACTTGAGTTACTTTAGTCCGATTTTGAAGTGGGATAGCTCTATGAGTTTGTGGAGGAATTCTCTAATGTTCAACATTAAAATATTACTTCTAAACGAGGGTTCAAATTTTAACCCATTTTCATGTTCGATTTTTCCGTATTTCCAATGGGTTTTAGAATGGGACCCCAAAACTGCATTTCTAGATTCCATAACTTGAGTTACTTTTGTCCGATTTTGAAGTGGGATACCTCTATGAGTTTGTGGAGGAGTTCTCCAATGTTCAACATTAAAATATTACTTCTAAACGAGGGTCCAAAATTTAACCCATTTTCATGTTCGTTTTTTCCGTATTTCCAATGGGTTTCAGAATGGGACCCCAAAACTGCACTTCTAGATTCATAACTTGAGTTACTTTTGTCGGATTATGAAGTGGGATACCTCTATGAGTTTGTGGAGGAATTCTCTAATGTTCAACATTAAAATATTACTTCTAAACGAGGGTTCAAATTTTAACCCATTTTCATGTTCGATTTTTCCGTATTTCCAATGGGTTTTAGAATGGGACCCCAAAACTGCATTTCTAGATTCCATAACTTGAGTTACTTTTGTCCGATTTTGAAGTGGGATACCTCTATGAGTTTGTGGAGGAGTTCTCCAATGTTCAACATTAAAATATTACTTCTAAACGAGGGTCCAAATTTTAACCCATTTTCATGTTCGATTTTTACGTATTTCCAATGGCTTTCAGAATGGGACCCCTAAACTGCACTTCTAGATTCCATAACTTGAGTTATTGTAGTCCGATTTTGACGTGGGATACCTCTATGAGTTTGTGGTTGAATTCTCTTATATTCTACATTCAAATACTTGTTCTAAGTGGGGGTCCAAATTTTAACCCATTTTTATGTTCGATTTTTTCGTATTTCCTACGGCAGAAATGTATTAATTTTTGATTAAATTTATTTATTGTAAAAAATTATCCAATTAGAATGGAAATTATTTTTATAAACATTTTGAGGATCACATATAACTGAATACAATTTAAAACAAACAGAATGTTAAAAATTTACCAAATAGTCTAGACAGAAACTGACCAATCACAGGTGTTTCAAGCACATTAATATTTTTAGGAATCTGGTTTGTTTTCATATTTCTGCATTACATCGCGTGCCAGTTTAAGCTCCGCCAGCAGAGCCTTCGCTTGGGCGCGATCTATGTTGACAACGTGAGTGGTATCCTTTGGCAGGCCATCGACCAGTTCTTGCGAGATTTTCAGTTCCAAGGTGGTATAATTCGGAGGCGTTTGTCCAGGCGAGGTTATATCGCGAACGCTTTCCAGTTCGTTAACTGCAGGATAAAAAAGTTTTAAGTAAAGCAAACTATTGTGATGGCACCACCCACTTTTGAATGCCTTATCTTTTAGTGTTTGGCGGATGGCAGCGGAACGCTTTTGTAGGACTCTGCACATGGCTGCAGCATGATCCTTGGGCAATCCCAATTGCTGAATCTCCTCTCCAAAAATGCTTTCGGTGCAGCTATAGCGAGCTGCGTTGTTCAGCATAAAATGGATGCAGGCCACCGCGGTTTTACCCTCATTGGTAAGTGTGGATGTCAGCGATTTTATTTTAGATTCCTAAAAAATATCAATTATTATTGTATTTCAAAAATATAATAACATTTATATACCTCAAAGGTCTGACCACAAATTCTCAGGGCCACCAGATCACTGAGTTGCTCCAAGTTTTCAATGGTCAAGTTGGATAGTGTGGATATGATCTCAGCTAGGACCCAGTCGGGACAATCGCCCTCGCCACAGAAGCGGAATTTCTGCAAAGGTCAAATAAAATTTAGGTAATTACTTAAAGTTATTTATATTTTCAGTTCTAGAGCACACGCCCACAGCCAAATTGTACCATCACGTTTTCAAGTAAATTAAAGAACAGAACGCTTCAATAAGTGGGCTTCAAATGAAGAGCTCTTAGGAGAACCATAAAGGAAGTGTCGTGGGAGTTTAGGAATACCCTTGAAAATTAAGGGATTTGAGTGGATATTGTAAAACCGTAGTTAAATATGCTATGCCTTAAATAATATTTAATTTATTTACTTGGCACTTCTGCTACTTTTAAAATAATTTTACAATATAAATTTCAAACCGTATTTCCAACAAAAGGACGACTAGACAGCTATTTGGCCCAATTTGGGTCAACATTACGAGACTCACGCGAGCTGTGAACTAATGATACCCTTTAGGGATAACACTGGATAACCAAGAACTCCCACGACAGCCACATCGTCGCGTCAAGGAAAGGAAAAGTCGACGATATTTGCATATGATTAATTTCATACGCTTGCCTGCTAATCAGCGAGCAATTTGTACAAGTGGCGAGCGCAAAAAAGGGGTGGGTAAAAACTTTGGGGGTTGGGCACCCTTTCCGGGAGCAAGTTTCCCCATATAAGGAAGGCCCGTTTGGGGAGCTCGTCTCAGTTTCAAGTGCACGTCACGTTTATCTCTGGGCAGGATTAATAAACTCAAGTTCGGGTGGGGAAAAGCGTGCTAAGCGAGTGAAAATTTATGACACTTGTTGCCATTGTCTGGGGGGAAAAGTGCGGGGGAAAGTGGAGGAACGTAGGGACGCTTATTAATACGCACTCGTATTTATTTAGCGACGTGTGTAACGGCTTAGAAAATGCGAACGACAAACGTTTTATAATTATTTTATGGACTTCAAAGTGGGTGGGTGGTGGTGTGGTGATGGTGACAGTGGCTTTGCGGATCGAGTGGCTATATAAGCAGCCTTCCAGGACGCCCAACATCGCAGTTGGCCGAGAGGACTAAGACGGCTTAAACCGCTAGTGAAGATGGCAAAGATAGTACTGTGCCTGGTGTTCCTGGCCCTTAGCCGTGCGATCTATGGCTCTAGTCTTCCGTCACCAGTTTCTGGACAGGATTCGGAGCTGGCCACCTGTGAGCTGCAGCTCTCCAAGTATCGCCGGTTCATCCTGCAGGCGATCCTGAGTTTCGAGGATGTGTGCGATGCCTACAATGCGAGACCTGGTGGCCAGGATGGGGACTCCGAGGGCTGGCTCTTCCGGCACTACTCGCCACCGCCCACCTCCCAGCGTGGCGAGATCTGGGCCTTCTTCCGCCTCCTAATGGCCCAGTTTGGGGACGCGGAGTTCTCATCCATAATCCGGGATGCGGTCATCGAAAGGTGTCGCATCAAGTCCCAGTTGCAGCGCGACGAGAAGCGGAACTCCGTGGTGCTGGGCAAGAAGCAGCGGTTCCACTCGTGGGGCGGCAAACGGTCCCCGGAACCACCGATTCTTCCGGATTACTAAAAATCCCCATCGCAGCGTTTTCCTCCCCTTGAAATGTGTGAACAGCCAAAGTTGAAGTCCTCTTAATAATATCAGTGTCTAAATAAACCCGAAGATTGCAAATCGAGCAGCGGCTAATTTGGCTTACTTATGGAACATACCATGTTGCCACTGTCCTTATTTTTTGGGGATTTTCTAAGCTAAGTTATTAATTATTTTTTGCTTGTTTTGATTTTGCTCTAGAGGTGGGGCAAAATCGATATGAACATCGATGTCTTCGATTTCCACAAATATCGATGTTTCTACATTCTCCACATCTTTCAAGTTATTTAACATGGGAAATGTAAAGTAAGATGTGTGTAGAGCAATTTGGCGCCAATTGAATTCATATTTAAATTCGATATGAGGCCAAAAGGGATCGAACTGATAAAATGGCAACCAAAAACAATACAATTTTTAAAAAACCTTTTTTTATATAAGCAGTAGTTTTCTTTAAAAATATAATTCATTTTTAGAAATATTTATTTTTAATTATTTTTTACCATATTAAAGATATAAAAAATTTGTATTTAGAAACTTTTAGAAAGAACAAATTTGGATAGCCAAAATTCGAAAGAAATTAACCATTATCTTCTTACAAAACATTGTTTTAAGCGAAGTGTTTTTGAAGGTACCATTGTGTTTGCTTTATCCTTGAAAGTTGTAGTATCCTGTATTATCCTATACGTTAACTAGTTCACAATTCATAGACATTATTTTCAACAATGTATTATAAAAGGTACTGCGTCTTTGCCATTTTTAAATAGGAATTCCGTATCAAAAGAAACTCAAAAGTTGCTGCATAATTTGTTTGTGCCAGCATTCTGTCTGTCATGGCCCACTATCTAAACACATTTGCGGTACTTATCGGGCGATCGGGACCCGAACGCCCACCAAAACACACCCCTTTGAACCCCACATGGGACCCACCTGCACCGCCCTATCGCCACGATTCAAAATAAAGCCGATCTTGACAGTTTTTGGAGCAACATTCGAGGCCTTCTAGGCAGAGTCCGGCGGCTACTGTAATCCCAGATAGGAGGTGGGGGCACAACTGACCCATAAACCTTGTCTCTATAAATACAAACTAGGCGCAAAAGGAGGGTGTGTGTCCGTGCAGGCGGCACTAATTATAATTATCTCATCTGTCTCGGGCTCTGGGCCTTTTTGCCATAGCTGGACACGCTGAAAACAAATGTTAACTAATCGCCCCCGGCCTGCCCAGAAATCTAAATTCGAAATCGTTAAATTGACTGATAGTGCTGATACTATATGCCCGGGAATCCGAGCAACGTGAGCGACTTTTTCCAGCCTGTTTGACAGCGGCGCCAGCGGCAAACCTAAGTCCCGATTAGGGCCTGGAAACCCGGGCTCGGCGAATCTTGGGGATTTTGCTGGGCTAATGCGATTACCGGCCCTGATTAGGGGGGCGTGATCGGTGGCCGTTCAATAACAGAATCCGGAAGGCAAAGTTCCATCTAAAAATATACCCTAGGATTCGGTAAGCCCTGGGGAATCTATTTAAGGCCCTTATCGATGATCTTCTGAACCCCCCAAGCGGAACTAGACCTGATCACAAACGATCAGTCGGTCAGCAGGTGGTTAGAGGTATATGATAATTTCAAGTTTTAGTTAGGTGGCTGTCCGAAGTTTTCCCTTGAGCATCTCTTATCTCATAAAAGACTGGAATTTTTAATTGGCATTATAAATTAATATTAATAATTCGACAGATTTAGACCACCAACACAGCTGCCAAAGTTTATCAGCAAAAGCAATTTAACGAAATGTTCAAAACAAAAAATAAAAAAGAAATTAAATTATTGAACTTCATTAACTTTAAAAAAAAATAACTTTAATATAAAATATTTTATTAATCTATAACATTGTTTTATATATTATTTTATAAACAATTTAAAGTAAACCATAATGGTTCCCAATGATTGTACAAAAATTTCAAAGCCGGACTTTCCCCACTTATGTACGTATGGGGCTCAGTTTCATTTGCATTATTCATTATTAAATTTATTAATTGACCTTACCCCTGGGCTCACACCTCTGCCCCTTCCATTTGCACCATCTTCCCCAATAACGATGAAGAAACTAGGCCATCGCAGCATATATTTTCATAGAGGTGATAACAGACAATCGGGCTGATTAAACCTTGTCCGGGGTTCTCGAGGACAACCAACGAAAAGTAAAACAAAAAGAATACAGATTTTAAATTTAGTCATTGAACTTAACATTGAAGAGAAGGCAGGATTCGTATTTGTTTTTTTAGTTGGGCGCACGACCGGCTGGCAACAACAATTTAATCTCCCTCCACAGCGCCAGAAAACAAATTTGTTCTTTGTCAACGACCGATTATAAAAGCTAATGGTTGTTGGTAAAAATAAGAGGGAAAAATTTAAGACTATAGAAAATTTCCAGCCACCGTTAAATTAAGTTACAGGCTCGCTGATTTTCAATTACTTTTACAGACAGAAAAAATGTTGCTTAAAGGAGGTAACAATATTAATGGATTATATTTTTAGTTTAATTTTTTAATAGCTAGAGAGTACAAGAATTTTAAAAATTTATATCTTATGTTTGTAATTTATTAGAAATAAAGGCAAATAAATATAATTAAAATATTTTTAAAATTTGTATTGATTTGTGATAAACTATTTAACTGTGGGAGGGATAAAACTATTATATATGTGAAAAAAGTATCAAATATTTTTCTGTCTGTAGCCAGGTGTCGTTTCCCGAAATCCTGTGTAGGCGTTGAAAAATTTTCGCAACAAGCAGCCAAAGTAGAGGAAAATCAACTTAGCGGAAAGTTTATTTTTGGTTTGTTTTTGATTAATTTACAATCCGCTTGATTAGTGGGCGTTAACTGATCAGATAAGGTTTGCAGTCATTATCGCCGGAAATATTTGCTTCACTTTTGTTGTACCCCTTGCCGATTTTCTAACAAGTCTGCAAGCAACCAGTTATAAAGGTTTATGTCCTAGCCAGTCTATAAATTAAATTTGACCAAGTATTTTCTTTTTCATGTCACTTGGCTTTGCACGTGTCTTCTACAGAGACGCCCATAATTAGACTCCTTGGAGTGACGTATAATACTACGAAATACACACTTTTACATTAACAACGTTCAGCAAAAATTGTAAAGGGTCCGCCGATAAACCCATTGAACCTTTCTGATCTTTATTTTGCGCATATAAAACGTAGGTTGGGGTGGAAAATTTTAAAAGGCATTTTCCTGTTGATTATTTTGATGTGGGTTTTTGTGTTCCTATTTTACAATCGTGTTTGCCGTCTGTTGTAATTTATATTTAAACATGAGTCTGTATAATTATACAAATATATGTAAGGTATATTATTAATAATCTGTGCTTAATACCCTATTTAAAGGTGTGACTCTCTCTTAACAAAGCTTTAGAGAAGGTTTTTAAGCCAAAATAATGGTGTAAATATATTTTAACATGTCGATTGATTTAATTTATAATTATATTACTTATATTTATATTACTTATATACCGAGTATAAAGATTTAATTATTATTATGCTTTAACTCAAATCTTTTTTCGATCTCTGTTCTTTTGTTAAGGTATTTGAACAATCGCTTTTGTCCAGTTAACCTTGCATTCTTACTTATTTCATTATTATTTTTTATGTGCACAGGCATTGATAAGCCAAAAGGTGACCCAATTGAGACCTACGCGACTCTTTAAATATAACAAGCTAATAAATATTTCACTGATCGGCATAGAAGGGAGTTACTTGAAAAAATGCATCCTAACATACTGGGTGCTAATGAAAATAAACAAATATATATTGATATCCGTTCGCATGAGAAAAAAGCTGACAGCAAACCAACAATGAAGTAAAAATAAACATTTGGCATACATTTTTCCAAGAAGTTTTACATTAAGTTCAGTGACCATCTGAATAGCCACTCCCAAGAAAAATATAATAGAATAATAGAATTATATAAAATAATGAAAAACAGTTGATAGTCAAGACCTTACCGAAAATGGAAGGTTAATTGAATCAAAATTTGTGCCAAAATTCTAAGTGCGCACTTGTTGGTTAGGCGAAAATTTCTCTAGATACAGAAAACTCAAACAGATTTTGTCTGAGAAAATTCGTAGCCCACTGACTCATGCGGCGGCCATGTAAATTTCAAACTAGTCTACGCGTTTCTAGTTGTATCTACAGCCAGCACTGTATCTCTATCTGTGCCTGTATACATGCCCATCTACAGATACATTTGTATCTGGGCAGTGCAACGCACGCATATAACATTGAATGCAATGTTTGAGCATATTTTTCTGCTTGGTTTTTTCTCTCTCACTTTTATTTTAATGTCGCATAAACCGGAACCATTAATGAACATTTTAGGGGGAGATGGGGAAATGATGTTCATCGGTTTATACCGTTATCGCTGGTCGTGAAGAAAGGCGGAATTGCTTTATAGCTGATGCTGTTTTTATGTTGGCATTGCCAATTTTTTTTCCTTTCTCTATCTTATGTAAAAGTACAACCTAATAAAAATTAAAAGTTAAGTAACATCATCTATAAAAAAGGAGTACTTGTCAGCAAGTACTTCCAGCACCATCATTCTTATATCATCATGCTGCGAAAGTATACTCCACATCTTAATAAAAACATAAAAAATCTGAAGATTATACTTGTATTTAAATAAACTAAAAATAAATAACAATCACGGCACATTTTTTTTTAATCGCACGATAACTTAAATGTTTCTTTAATTGCTTATCAGGTAGCAGTCCAAAAAAGTCAGCTCCGAAATTATGCAAAAATATTTTATCAGCTAACAGATACAATATTGCAATTTGGAACCTGTCAATTAGCTATTCATTTTTTTTTGGCTCAAGTTTTGATTATACATATTAGGCAGGTGCTGCTATTTGGCTAATATCAAGATTTCATTGAAATGTTGAAGTTGAAAATAAAGCTTAAATTCCCTAATTTTAAAGAAATAGGAACTTTAAAAGAATAAAGTTATAAGAAATAAATAAATAACTACAAAATTATTGAAAGGTTTTGCTCCTAAAAAATATGTTTGTGTAATACTAAGGACGACCCTTCTCTAAACCTAATTATTTCGGCACAAACTTTCTCCCTTCTATTACAAATAACCTTAAAGTAGAACCCATAAAAAGTTCTCTCACCTCAGTCAAGGTGTCGCCTGCTAATTACTTCATCAAGTGCAAGGTA